GGGAAAGAGAGTGCATCTTCTTCTTTTTGTTGTAGTTGTCGAACTTCAAAATCTCATAAATTAGCAGAAGGAAGAAGAATTTGATTCGACAATCGTAGCGTAGCGTTGGTGCGATTCGCGATACGATGGGAAGAGGAAAGTTCAAGAGCAAGCCCACCGGTCGCCGCCAGTTCTCCACCCCGGAAGAACTCCGTGAGACTCTTTTCTCATTTATCGCTAAAGTTTACGTTGCTGGTCTTTTAACTTCAATTGCTATTTTATTACCTTTGTGGGCATTTTTTGTTTTCTTTCCCCTCAACTCATTACCTTAATCCAATTTGTTATTGTGAAATATGGTTTTGAGCTATAAGGGATTATTTTGTTGTTGTTTTTGTGTATTGTTGAAGCTGTAGAATGTGATGAAGGGTGAAGCATAGATGTTTTGATGTATGAATGGAATTGTTGGGATTGTTAGATCTGGAGAGACTGCCTGGTTGGGGACTCTCTTAGTATCTGTTCTTGTTTGAATTGAATTTGAATTAATGACAATTTATTTTTATTAACTGTTGAGTTATGTGCCTTCTGGTTTGGTTATTTTCTGTGAAGCTTTAGAGTGAGCTACAGTTGTAAATAGACATGAGTTTTGGACCTCAGTTGAACTAGGAATTTTTATGGCTTTTGGAAAGTAATTCATGAACGCCTAATATCTAAATGACATCTACAAAAATAAAGAGAGAAGAGAGAGGAGTGTAGGTATGATAGGTGATAATATGATATGATAGGGAGAGATAGAGAGATAAAATAGGTGTTGATGGAGTGTTTGTTATATGCGAGTGTTTGCATATCATCACCCTTGATTGTATGATGAATACCAATGGAGAAAAAAAAGTACTGATTGCCCCTTTAATTTGCTGAGATTGTCGTTTAGCTGTCTGTGGTTTCAGTGAGTTTCTACTTCGGCTACTCCAAATGAGGACAGTGTCTCCATCCTTAATTATAGACTGTAACTTGTAAATATCTCTGTTGTGTTTGTGGATTTATTGAAAATAGTGAAAGAGAAGAGAATTTGAACAGCCTGTTGTGAGGGTATGGCTTATTTGTCGTTCACTAACTGTTGACGTTACATTTTGAAAATGGACATCGGTGAGAAAAGGCTTGGATTGTGGAAGCAGGACCGATAAGTCAGGCAGATACTCAAAGACAGTTTTTTTAGAAGTTCTAGAAAGTTTTAGTGGATGCGACAATTTTAACAGTTAGTAAGTTTGAAAAAGGAAATGTATTGAGGAAGAAATTGATATCTATATTTATTCAACCCTTTGATTGCATTTAAAAAATATCTTAGTTCAATACCATATACTTTTCCTTTCTAGTATCTTTTGATTTGAGGTAGTAACGTACATATTGGGAAATTAAATGCCTGTTATTTTGTTGTGATTTCCATTCACCATAGGTCTGGTCCAGTAAGTTAATGTTTTCTAGAGGGATTACTAGTTAAGTTAGAAGGCAGTTCCTTTATTTTGAAACTTAGCTGAAGTAAAGTTATTGTTGATGCCAACACCCTTTGGCCCCCCTTCCCCTCTTGACAAAAGAAACAGAAAAATGGTATTTTGTAATGGTGGAATGATGAGCACTTCTGAATACTTAAATGTTGCTTTTGACTACTGCAGTTGCTGGATCCTCTAATCGTCCTCGAACATTTAAACAGGTTTTCTTCTGCATACTTATGTCCTCTTCAGTTTGCACCTCTCTCAAAGTGCACACACATACATGTGATCACTTACACGCAGAATGGTTTCGTTTATATAGAGTATAAGTGGCAACAATTCATTTTTATATGCACATGATATTAATTAATTTGCTCTCCATTTTTTTTTCTTTTCATTATCTATACAACTCATTAGAAAGAAGCCGAGCATGAAGAAGAACCCGAAGAAGTATCTGGGGGTGAATCTGGAGAAGAATCTGAAGAAGAAACTTCAGTTAGTATTTTGCAGTAATTACTAATTTAGATGGATTACATATTTGCTTTTAAAAAAGGATTTGTTTTTTCGTATTGTCTTCCCCATCTATATGAAAATTTACTCTTTGGTTGTTATATAATATATGCAGAAGAAAAAAGGAACTCAAGGGGTTATTGAGATTGAAAATCCTAACTTGGTAAAGCCAAAGAGTGTGAAAGCTAGAGATGTTGATGTGAGTTCAAGTTTCCTTTTTTGGTCTTTATATAGACATTTTTATAGAGGTTGGAAGAATAATTGCATTTTCCTGTGGATGCAGGTTGAAAAAACAACAGAACTTTCAAGGCGTGAAAGGTTTGCTACTTTTCATTTGCTTCATATGACCCTACGTCTACCAGTATATACCTTGCTATTTAATCAACAATGGGAGGGGGGAGGGTTGTGCATAGCACTTAAGAGAGTGTATTGCTTATTGTTAAAAGGGGAGCAGAACATTCTTTCACGTTTAATTGTTCCATTTCTACATTTGGAGAATATTGAAAGTGAAACTTTTGAAACACGTTTTTTAATATCTTTAATTTTTCCCACCTGTTTGTAGAGAGGAGATAGAGAAACAAAGAGCCCATGAGCGCTATATGAGGCTGCAAGAGCAAGGAAAAACAGAGCAAGCAAGGAAAGACTTAGGTACCTCTAGCTCTTGAAATAATTTCTCTAATTATTTGCTCATCTTTTTTCTTTTACTTTTTCTGCTTTGCCTGTGATATTATTATTACATGTGTAAACTACTGATTCATTGATATGGCAAGTTCTAAGCCGTATGAGATCTTCAAACTAAAATATGCTTTGCAGGGAGAATTATTCTGTAATGAGGTTTTTTGTTTTCCAATTTGATGTTGAGTTAGTTTCTTTGTCTTGCAGAACGTTTAGCACTTATACGTCAGCAAAGGGCAGAAGCTGCTAAAAAGAGAGAAGAAGAGAAAGCTGGTTGGCTCTAAAACCTTCTGTTCTGCTTACTCTATTTTCATATGAAAAGCTAGAAACTAATAAGTAAATTCTTTTCAGCAAAGGAGCAAAAGAAGGCTGAGGCGCGCAAGTGAATTTCCTGGAAAATGTCATGTCGCCAAATTTACTCCAATTAGTAGGAGGAATATGTGCTCTTACTACACTTCCAACATTGTGTCCATCTAGCTTTATAATGGTATTACCATACCAAGCTGGTAACATGTAATACAATTATTTTCATATTCTCTGGTTTAAAAATCGTTATTATACATATATAGACGTTTATCTCCACATGGGGACCAAGTTAACACTTTGCGTTTTTCCCCCTTCGCTACAAACGTTTAGCTAAATAGTATACAGTGTAGTTTGCCTGCAACCGTTGGTTAATATTTCTAAACAGTCGGATCCAAATACTGAAATTGAGCATATCAACGGCGGATCTAAGACTCTAGGTTGTGGGGGGTAATTTTTTAAAAAATTAAAAATAATAAACATCATCCCATATACAAAGAATAAAATATGAATGCCAAAAGTTATTGGTGGATTCAACACATAAATTAAAGGGTACAGAATATAATATTTTAAACATATTAATAATTTAATTAAAGTAAATGTGTCTATTAATCCACTTTCACTCTAGTATAGTTTCGCAGGGTATATTGGTGCTTGTATTGGGGTTATGTTAGTTTTACTCTTAAGAATAAAAAAAATTGGTACGAACGGTTAAAAATTGAAAAAAAAAATCTTTTTTTTAATTAAACCAGTATGTACGAGAAGCTCTGATTGTAATTTCCCTTAATCACGATTTCACGACGAATGGTTTAAGTCACGTGAAAAAAAGAAAAAGTAACAAAATTAGTTCATTATTTTAGTCTAAAGGCCGGGTGTTACTTAAATAGCAGGAGTTGACGATTTGTACATTATTTTAGTTCACTCGAAAATTATTTTAGTACTTTGTTTGGTGTCGACCGATTAATTGTTGGATCTCTCTCCCTTGGTATTCATTATACAATGACCATTGTCAAACATGGTCCTAAACATGAAAAAGGCAATTACCACATCATTTAGTAGATTTTCTGGATAAAACTCATGATCCAAGACCCAACGCACCATCTACATTCTCTAAAAATACCTAGCGAAGTAAGTACACATTTCTCATATACTAATATCCTTACTATGTCAATTTTTAACTTGGGTGTCAAAATTTTTGCATGTACATCCCTTGCTTTGATGTACGAAACAGAAACCTTATAATGTAGACGAAGGAAGTTCCGGTAAAATCTCTTATATCATACCCATGAAACAGTTGGTTTATAACAAAAATAGTTAGTTTTTTAATTTCTATTCTCTCAATTATAGGGACTGTTTGGATAAGTTTCTAATTATTTTTAGAAAAAAAAGGGGATAAAATATTAAAATAAACTTTTTCATTAGTTAAAATTAGTTTATATACTAATTATAAATAAAATTTTAGAAAAGTTAATATGAGAAAAATTGTAAAAAAATAATTTATAAACAAACTAATTTTAGTATATAAAAATATTATTTTATTTTATTTTTCTATAATCCAAATAAACTTTATATACCTTTACTAATATTCAGGCGCGGAGGTAGGGTAGGGGCATGCCCCCACTCCCCCAAATATTTAATATTTTTATATGTAAACTATTATGCATATAGTATAAGGCAAAGATATGAAACAAAAATATTATGAAGGAGAATGAAAGAATTTTATGAAAATTTCAATTGAATTCGAAAATTTCTGACACAATTAAACCAACGTGTGGGCGGTTAAAATGAATATATATAGCGAAGTGAATTAAAACCCCGTTGTCGTTGAAAAGTTGAACCTAATTTGAATGAGTGCAGAGAAACGCGCGTTTCCGCAATGGAGATTCTCTACAAGAAGCTCTACGACAAGTACACCAAACTCAAGGTTTGTTCTACAATTCATGTTTCCCTCACCACCATACACACCTTCTTACTCATTCTCCCTTTTCTCTCCCCTTTTAGACTAAGAAACTCTCTGATCTGGATCACATAAATAAAGAACAAGAGCTTAAATTCATCAATTGCATCTCCGGTACGTTTCGTCTCTTTCCTTTCCGCCTGAATTCTCTGAACAACACCGAATGCCTTCTGAATTTTGTCTCTTGCAGCTGCGGAAGAGTTAATAGAGCACTTGAAGAGCGAAAAGGAAGAGCTTCTTGAACAAGTCAATGATTTGAGAACTGAGCTGGCTTCAATTAGGCACGTTTCCAACAATGGAGCCTTTTTTTTTTTTGTGGATTTTTTTAGTCTTAGATTTCTTTTGTTTATGCATATGTGTTACTTCGAACGCCAGGACTGCCACAGACAAACAGGTTGCTGATTATCAGAGGCTCTTGATGGAGGAAAGCCAGAAAAGTGAGACACTCTATAGTTCGTGATTTACTTATCCATACCAAAAAAACAACGACTTTTGTAGAGTTATTAATCTTTCAGATGTGTTCAGACTTGCATGTCAATTTAATTAACTAACTTCAGTTTTTAGCTCATTGCTGTGAGTCTAAACTTGTTTTAGGTCCTATTTAGATAAACTTCTTTAGAAACATTTTTAGAAAAGAAAAAAAAAAAAAATAAGTTTCTTCATAAGTTAAAATCAGAGTATGCATAAATTAATTTGTAGAGGTTTTTTCTTATTAACTTCTTCAAAATCTTATTTTAACTTGTGCATAAACTAGTTTTAGCTTATGAAAAAGCTTATTTCAATTTTTTTCTTATTTTTTTTCTCCAAGAAATATTTCTGGAAAAGTTTATCCAAACAAACCTTTAATTACTTTTTTGTATTTTTCTGATTAATTTCTTATTGAAATAGAAAGCAAGGTTTACGGTTTACCCTTGAGATAGCTACCTAGTTAATGTTTTCCTTAGGAACTTTGGTTCAAAACTCATGTTCAATGTTGGATTTTGTTTCAATGGACATTTCATGAATGTAACTTCACAGTATTTCCATGCCGCTGTCCTTATATGTGTCTCAATTTCATTTATTGTTCTTCTCTATTGATGATTTGGGTGTGAACTTTTGGCAGATGAAGTGCTTTCTGAAGAAATTGAGAAATTGCTGAGGCTTCGTCAGGAAGGAACATCTCAAGATTTAAATAATAACAGTAAGATCATGACCGTTGATGATAATTCTAACTCTGACAGTTTAAGAATGACAAGAAAACGTAAAAGGCAGAATGCTTTGGAGAAAGAAGCAAGGCTTATATCTTTTGAGAATGAAGGTAATTCTGTAGAGAGAGAGTCAATGCAAAGTGCTTCCAAGGAGACTGCTTCTGGTGAGGTGAGCATTTAAAACCCTAAAAATGGAATATATCAGTATGTGTGTCAGTGTGTGTGTATTCTGTTTACTTCATTTGGGGGGAAACTGTTATCATCTTGATATGCTGACATTTTCTTGTGAAAAAGCTGCTGGAGTGCTGCACCAAGGCTAATGGTCAATCAGGTTGGTGTTAGCAATTGTTATTCTTGCTTTATGTGTGAATTGTTACTTGGTTGGAATTTTGGTATATTTTATATATCCTTCATTGTGTTTTACAGGCATTGATTTACAGGAAAGTGATCGTGGTAACTGGCTTACTCAAGTTCTTTTTGAGCATGCACTGGGCATGAAATTATCCACTGACTATCAAACTGGACAGATATGCCTTTTGTCTGCACTGCATCAATCAAGTGGTAATTCATAACTTTGGATTGTAACCAATTTCTTTGTCTTATTATTTCTTAATCTTATTGTACCTTGTTTCTGAGTTAATAGTTTGTCGGGATATTAATAATAGATATGCTTGGCTATATTTCAATCTAGATATATTTCTAGAATTCTGATGGCTTGTTTGGTGGTCAAGGTAGGATAAAGATGGATAGGATAAGAGAGCAAGATAAAATTCGAAAAGAAAATGAGCATCATCTCTTATCCTATCGTTTGTAAGTGCACCAAATAACCTAGCATATAGTAATATAAAATATAAATTGCATAACAATTGCAAAAATACCATTATAAAAAGGTAAAAATAGGGAGGGTTACTTTTTCTTTTTATTTAAAAAAAGAGAGAGTATCAAAACATGACACATAGATCACAGATGCTCAATGAGCATAAAAACACAGCGTGAAAAATTAGAGAAGGGTTGAAGATACTTTGCACATTATCTGTACCTCAGACAGATAGATGGAAATAGAATGGGGCGGACCTGAGTGAGAAGACACACAAACGGGATGCAGTTGCCAGTTAAATTTTCCTATTCCCAATTTTCCTGTCATCTCACAATTTATTTTCAAATATATAGAATTTCTTTTGGAAGGGCTAAACAAACAAGTGTCAGTTTTTGGAAAATAGTTTATTTTTAACACAGAATTCAAAGTTAGTATTTTATTCTCAGTTCAGTAAGGTGGTATAGGTGGTGTGGAGGGAGAGACATAGGGCTGGAGTGGTATGGAGGGAGTGGGTTCGAATCCTTCTAGCTAACATAACTCACTAATTTACTAACATTTGCTGTTAAAAAAAAATTCTCAGTTCAGTAGTGGGTCATTCTTTGACAAACATGATCTTGGTCTCAGTTTTTAGAGTATTTTTTCTGCTACATCTTATTTTTAGGTTTTAAATATAATTCTTGCCATGAACATTTGGCAGAATGTAGATATGTAACTGCTTGGTTAACTTGTTTCTTTTATTGCTACGATGATAGGTTACTCCTTCAGTTTATCTTGGATTAGCAAATCACCAGGAGAAGATTCAGAGCTCCTGTACCATGTTTTATCTCTAGGCACATTTGAAAGAGTGGCACCAGAATGGATGAGGGAGGACATTAGGTTCAGCCCTAGCATGTGCCCCATCTTCTTTGAAAGGGTATCTCATGTTATAAAGTTGAACCACTAGCATTGATTCAATCCCCCCTCCTTTGAATGTGGATTTACTGTATATATTTTCTGCTTAATTTTTATTTTGGAGAATATTAAGTTGTGTTTTGTGTGTAAACTTGCTTGTTTCTCTCCAATTCCTTTTCATATGCCTTTTGCAAATTCAAAGGATTTGTAAGGGTATTTGGAAGAGCTTTTCTACAGAGCTTTTTATGGACTGTTGGAAAATACTAACCAGCTACGTTTATTTGTTAGAATTTTAATAACTTATTTTAATAACTTGAGATTGTTTTTTTAATGATAAAATTGTTATAGGTTACTCCTATAACGATGTTGTCAATGCATGAGTGACTTTTTCTAAAATACTAAACAGCTCCATTTATTTGTTAGAATTTTAATAATTTGACGTTGTTATTTACTTTTGGATGCATGGGTGTCCCTAGCATTTTGACTTATATAACATTGCCTTTAAATCTTGTCAAATTTAATACTGTTAAATGATGTCAAGTTTTTATTTGGCTGTGTGGTATTTTTCTTTTGAAAATATCAACTTCCTCAAGTGATGATGGATTCAAGTAGTTATGATATTCGCCCAGACCATGTGTCAAGAGATGGCAAGTTTTGTGCCAATGTTCCAGTGATAATCTGGTCAAGTGAGGACATGAGCGTAGTCTAGGGTCCAGTATTACTATGTCATTTCTTTCAACCATTACATCATTTAGTTCAAGTTAATTTTTAGAAGTTAATATCTTTAGTTTGGTTGCACCATATTTATAATTTCATTTACTTTTATAGAAGTTAATATCTTTTTCGGTTAATTGATGTAATCTCTAAATCATAAAATACTTTTTGAACACCTACTGGGGTACTTTGAATTGCTGGTGCATATATGTAGTTCAAGTTAATTTTTAAAGGAATGGCATAAGTCACCTAATTTGATGTTCCGAGTCATCATGCAATCCACATGGAGCCTAGAGCTTTATGGGATGACTTGATAGGAGCTGTAGGAATTTTATCTGTGAGATACTATGGGCAGCAAAAAGGTCCACACCGTAGCTTGGGAGGAGGTTTGCCAACCCAAATCTTTAGGAGGATTGGGAATTAAACTTTCATGGGAAATGAATCCTTCCTTTCTTATGAAAGTGGGATGGGATATTTGTGTGAAACAAGAGGTACCTGGGTGAATTTTATTAGAAGCAAATATTGTTGTGAGAGATTCACCTTCGCATTTGGATTGAGAGAAGAATGCTTCAAATTTTTTGGAGGGGTATTTTCATGAGTTGGTCTCATATTGAGAGTAACACTACTTGGAGGTTGGGTAATGGTAAAAACATTTCTTTTTGGACAGACTAGTGGCTGCCAAATTGAGTAGCATAATAAGTTTCTTAAGCCATGAGACTTTCCCACTTAATGGACTAATCTTTTGGATTGGATTCTCCTCTTTGTGTAAGTCCTAACACAGACATAACAGTTCTGTTATGATTAATTTGAGTGAAGATATTATAGATTTTGTTGATGACAGGGGTTTTGGAACCTGAATTCCATTTCTCGTATCCTCCCTCAGCAGATTATTCATAAAATTTTGGCGTGACATAAGGGAGAATATCAATGATTATCCGATTATCTTACTTGGAACCCGACTAATGATGGTATTTTCTTTGTTGCTTCAGCTTATGAAAGCGTAAGTGCTAACCGCTTAAAGCCTAGATGCAGTATTTTCAATCTTATCTGACAGTGGGATTAAAGTTACTGTGGAAATTGATAAGAAATGGGTCGCTAACCAATGATCTCAGGGCAAGAAGACAAATGGTCTTGAATGCCAATTTCCCAAGAGGTTGCAACACTGCCGAAAGCCTGAAACTTTCCTGCACGTGTTCAGATATTGCACCTTTGCTAGGTCCTTCAGGAGAAAATTCATGGATCATCAATTTGCTCATCACTTTCTATAGTCTGGATTTATCTAATTGGGTAGCACACAATCTTATGGCATGCACGCCTTATTCTAGTAAATTGAATTTGCCTTTTGGTGTAACAGTAGATGTTTTATGGAGAATGAGAAATGGTCTTATTTTTGTGAATAAAGAATCATCTGTTGACGTGGCTTTGTCATTGGCATATTAGGAAAGATATGTTGGATATCTCTCTGGCCAAGCAAATGACGCGTGGAAGACTGAAAGCTAATCACAGCCACGAGCTAAGACCATATTGGCTGGACTTCTCCATTTGGTTGGGTTGAGATTAAATTTGTTGCTTCCATTAGTAGCTCTTCTTCCCAGGCGGGTTGTGGTGGTGCCAGAAATGATGGCAATTTTTTATGCGGTGCTTCCATTAGGAGACTGTTCTATCACCATTGTAGAATTACGAGCTATATTTCATGGTCTTCACTTGACATGGAATAGAGGGTTTGGGATGACTATTGTTGAATCTGACTCACTCAGAGGTTCACATGGTGAATCAAGGCTCTCATCTAGCCTTCCCTCTGGTCAAGAAAAAAATAGGTAGCTTATGGCCCTCGGAGATGATCATGTTCATTGCAACCATATTAGATGGGATCATGGGAAACACCAGGTGGCTGATTCCTTGGCTATGCTTAGTCTCTTCCTTATTGTCAATTCAGGTTTTTGAGGTGGCACAGAGTGAATTAGCCTATAGTTATTGGTTGATAAACCAGCCATTGTTTCCTTGAGGCTTCTCTAGTCTTCTCTTTTCTTTGATAAATCAGTCATAGCTTTTCCCCTTTGTCTCATCAATATATACATATGAATGATGTAAATATCAAATTTTTAGAGGAGGTAAATCATAAGCCCACGATTAATTCCTTGTTCAAGGCTTATAGGTCTTCGTAGACATTATCCTTTGTCATTCAATTAAATATTTATATTCGTACAGTGGAGGAACTACCAATTTTTTGACGTATATATGCCACTTTAAAAATTGCGGTATTAATGTATTGTTATGAGTGGGCATTCATTAGGAAAATGATGATAAAAGACAATTATGAAACAGTTACCTTGGTCGGCAACAAGAAGGAAGGCCGGCATGTGTAGGAAGTTTGAAAGTAAACCTTACTCTACAATTTATAAGGCTCACACGGTTGTTTTCAAATCCGTGCATAGCTAGCTGCAATTGATGATGACGAAGGACTATCAATTAATAACAATATTATTATTTAATATATTATTCACACATTATTTAAAAATTATTATTAAATAGTGAAGAAGGAGTTACTAGAAGCAAATCAATTAGCAGATTTAATGGCAAAACATGCATATACAATTTCATATTATATTCATATTTATGATGTTTCAAATTTTATTGTTAATACTTTGAGAGAGCACTATGCGTGTATTGCTTTTCCGAGAGGCTTCTAATCCTCTGGTTTTTTTCACCAAAAAAAAGGAATAGATATATAAATTAAAGAGGAAGTTGATAAAAAAAGACAGAAGAAAGATGGAGAGGAAAAAAAATGTATTATTTCATTCATGAAATGATATTTATACAAGTAAATGAAACATAATATGAGAAACTAAAAAATATATGATTTAATATTTTTTTTATATAATTTTGATATACAGTTATCAATTAATTAGAAATTACTCTACGTATGACTTTTAGAATAATTAATATAAAGTAAATAATTTTTAAGTAAAAATAGTCAAATTAAATAAGATTGTTTACACTATAGTCTAATATAAATTATCATGTAAAATAAGATTGTTTATTTTTTTTTAATAATTACTTTAAAAAGACTCATTTTGAGTTATTTTTAATGCCAAAAGTATATAAATGGCGCATTGATTAATAGCAGTGTAAAAATCCTTTATATCATCATTATAATTCAGTTAAATGCATAGCGTATTTATCTGTAATATAATATCCTCTCAAAATCATATTAATCAAATTTAACAAATGACGAATATCAACAAAAATTCATATATTTTTCGGTACATAACAATAATTCATATATTTTTTGGTACATAATAATAATTCATATATCAACACATCTATCAAATTCTATTATAATTACATTCACACATGTGGTCAATTTCATGTGATTGGAAAATTGAATCAGCGGCAACATAATTCAAATATTATTACATGTATACACACGTGGTCAATCTTGATTCAGTTATTAGAATCAGCAACGTCCTTTTTATGCTAAATTGCTTAATCCTTGTGTTTGACTAAAACAGATTTATCTGAAACGAAAATCTCTCTCTAAAAAATTTCATGGGATATACAAGCCATAAAACATTAGAAAACACCGTGTACGAATAAATCAAACTCTTAAGTAAAAATCATTCCAAAATAAAAGTTAAAAATGACGAGAACAATCCGTCAAACTTAACAGATATTCTTCCAGAGGGGTCGTTATAATTAGATAATTTATTAATGAGAATTTAGAAAGGAAGTGAAGAAAAAAAAAAGACAAAAAAAATCAAAACATTTATGGATAGACTCTCACTCTTATACTTTATTTGGATTAATAAAAATAAAGAAGGAAGTAAGGTGAAAGAGATATAATTAAATTATTAATTTTTATTATTTATTTATGAGGAGATATGGAACTGAAGAGATAATATTTTTGAGACCCGCACGAAAAATTCCGCCTCATCGAGGAAAAGAGGAAGAAGATCTTTTTTTTATTTTTTATTTTTACTTTTCATAAAAATTAAATAGATTTTTTTTCACGAAAATAATAAAAATCATAAGTTTGTGTAAAGAAAATATAATATATTAGAAAGTTTAAGTTTTGAGTTAAATTTATTTTTTTAACTAGTACAAAAAGCTTTTGCATAATTTATTTATTTATGTCCACCAACTCTTCCACTTATTCAAACAAGTGGAGAGACTTTTTCCCCCCTCTTATTTATATCTATCTAAAAAAATACATTTCTTCTATTTTTCCATCATATTTTTTCCCATTTTTTTTTCCTTTTCTTCATTAAGTTGTAAAAAAGTAAATAACTATTTTTTAAAATAAGCTAAATTAAACACCAAAATTGTTAATATACACTTTATTTCACAAAAAAGTTATAAAGATAATGATTTCTTTGAATGAACTTCTAATTCTTCTAGTTTCTCTTTGTTTTTTTAGTTTTGATTCATACACTCTTGAAGCCTAGCTTTCTGTTCTTATAATTTTACAATTTTAGATTCTGGCAAAGAAAGAATGAAGATGTGGTGAGGGGAAAAGGTAGCCCATTGAGGACAAATAATCTTACGATGGGAAGAATAGTTAAAGCTCAGAAATTAAAATATA